TCTTTCTTTCTTTCTTTCTTTCTTTCTTTCTTTCTTTCTTTCTTTCTTTCTTTCTTCTTTCTTTCTTTTTCTTTCTTTCTCCTCCTCCTCCTCCTTTCAATCCTGTTCCAAGAAACCCGTTTTTTGCGGCCCGGCTCGCTTGCAGAACTTTTCCGAAAGGGGCTTGTTCCCAATCCAAAAGGATAGTCAGATACATTTATCAACAGTTGTTTGACGAGCATCGTCTACTCTAATGCTTCTTGAGAGGGTCAAAAAACCAACTTTATTTTCAGTGGTGCATAAATTAATTACATGCATTTAATAACCCAAATATCATTAGATTCCCCCTTTCACGTCGTAAAGGCTTTATGCCAGGGAAGAGCTTAATAGGGCGGTGGGCCATCGGCAGCCGTTATCTTGGTGTGCGCTTTTATGGAGCCTATTATGCCCCCCTCCCCCCCCCCCCTCTTCCGTTTGATGTCTTCTCATCCAATCCGGCGGCCCCCGAATTCGTATGTTCAGCTGGAGGCTTCCCAGCCTCATTTTCACCCAGGCTTCGGGGTTGAGCCATCCCTCTCGCCGCCGAGTCTCCAATGCGTTTTAAAAGTAATTGCGGAGGGTCCCACCGCCTCTCATTTGCAGACGGGAAGCGAGCTTCAATCCGGAGACCCCTCGCTGCGAACAAAATCAAACCTCGCCACGGAAAGGCGAGGCGGCTCCTGGAAAGCCCTCCGAATGGCCCATTAGCGCTCCCGGGAAGGAGCGCGCCAGCCAAGCACAAGTGCCATCGCCGACCCCCGCCAGGAAAGAGGTGGGGCGGGCCGGGAGGGACCCGCGGGCCCTGGAGCCTCGAAGAGGCCTGGGCTAGGACGGGGCGGCGGAGTGGGCCTCCCTCCCTCCCTCCCTCCCACGGCTGGCGCTCGGGGTGCTGACTGAGAAATGACGTCGGTTCCCCCCCCGCCACGCACCACGTGGGTCATTGGGAAGGCCCACTAGACCTATCCAAGTTCCTCACTCCGCGCAGCGCCGGCAATAATCCGATTAAGGCCAATTACGCGTGAGATTATAAAAGCGAGTGCGGGGAGGCTGAGCGGGCTGGAGAGAGCTTCGCAAAGGCAGCTGCCCGTTGGCACGGCTCCGCCAAGGCCCGCGGCTGCCCCGACGCCGGCAGCTGCCGCCGCGCCTCTCCGCGCCGGTTAGTGGGGCCTTTGGCCCGGGTCGCCTCCTTAGCTGCCTCCAGCGGCGCCAGCGGGGCTGGGCGCCCTTGCTCAGGCCGCTGCAGGAGAGTCGCGCTCGGCCACGAGGCCGGGGCGCGGCTGGGGGGCGGGGGGAGGCGGCGGGGGGAGCTCTGCCAGAGGAGGAAGCGCTTGCCCGGCCTCCGCTCTTGGAGAGCCTCCGCTGGGAGGGCTGAAGCCGGATGGGCGGCGCCTCGGACTGCTCAGTGCAGCCGATCCCGGGCAGGCTGGAGGAGCCGTCGGGGCGAGGGAGGCCGAGGCTTTGCCCTGCTTCGGCTGTCGGGCCCCTTTCTCCGGAACGCGGGCCCGGCGGAGGCGAGGCGGAGCGGGCGCGGGGGGCGAGCAGCTGCGGGAACAGGCCGCCCTCTGCTGCCGGCGGGGTCCGCCTTGCCGAGCGAGCCCGGCCCGCAAGAAGCGGCGCCGTCCCGTCGGGCCAACCTCCCTCGTTTGTTCCGCAGCTCCAGCCGCTTCGGCCGCCGCCGCCGCCGCCGCCTGCAGCGCCCACCCGGCCCGGCATGTTCTACTTCCATTGTCCCCCGCCGCTGGAAGGTGAGTGTCCGCGCGCAGCCCAGCCGTAAGTAGGCGCGCAACTTTCGCGGCAGCCGGGCTCCCTCGGCCGGCCCTGCGCTCAGCCTCGGCCGCGGCCGGCGAGGAGAAGCGAGCGCTTGGGCCGAGGGCGGCTTGGCCGTTGGGAAAGCTCGCCTGCCGCTCCGGCCCGGCCTCGCTCGTGTCTGGCCGGGAGCGGCCCACCTGCTTCCGCCGCAGTCGGAGAGCCGCGCGCGGGCGCTTGGGAGGCCAAGCCCGGAGGCTGCGGCCGCCTCCTGCCGCCCAGATGCTCCCGCTTCGCCTGTAATGGGGAGGCGGCGTTGGCCTCGGCGCTGGGCGGGCGGGCTGGCCGGGGGCGCCCTCAGTCTGCCCCTCTGGGCCAGGCGGGGAAGAGCCCGAGGAGGGCAGGGGGCTTCCCGCGGCACAAAGGCCGGCCCCGCCGCCCTTCTCGTGGCGGCATCGGCGGCGGGAGGCGGCCTGGGGCAGGCTGGCCGACGCTTCCAAGCACGAGGCCTGGCGGGGGCAGGGAGAGCAGGGCGGCGGGGCCACCGGGGCCAGGCACCCCGCTCCCAGCGCCCGCTCCTCCAAGGCTCGCCGTCGGAAAGGCCGTCGCGGGCTCCGGGAAGGGCCGGGCAGGCAAGCGGCGCCGGGGCGCAGCGCTCCGTCTCCGGAGAGGCGTCCGCGTCGGTGGAGAAGGTTCGCCCGGGAGGGGCACGGCGAGCCCCGCGGGCAGAAGGTGGCGCCGGGGCTGGAGCGAGGCGGGTGGTTTCCTCCGTTGGGGCCCAGCCCAGCCGCTCCTCCCGGGCAGCAGCTTCGGCCAAGGCGAGCCGGGGCAGCTCGGCCTCCCTCCTCCCCCCCCCCCCCCCCCCGTTGCAGCCCGAGAATCCCGCCGCTCCTGAGGCCGCTGCCTGGCCTGAGGGGCCGAAAGGCCGTCGGGTCCCCTGGAAGAGGCGGAAGAAACCCGGTTCGCAGGGGCGTAACGGGGAAGGGAAGGAAACCCGCGGGAAGCGGCGACCGAGGCCGAAGGGCGCCGCGGAAGGGCCCGCAGGGCATCTCCAGGCCTCCCCCGGGGCCTTTCCTCGCAACTCGGCCCAGAGGCCGGCTCCCCTGCGGCCGGAGCCCCTCGGCCTGCGCTGGCCTGGACGGGCCTTCCCTCGCCCCCCCTCCCGACTCCAGCGGCCAGGCTCTGCCGGGGAAGGGGGCTCCTTTGGCCGAGGACCGCCCGCGCCCCTCGGGGCCGGAGCCTCCCGGCAAGGAATCGCGGAGCTGCGGCTTCCTTCCCGGCCGAGCTCGCTCGCTCGCCTGGCCCGGCCCTTCCCAGCGGCGCCAAGCGCGCCCCGCCCGAAGGAGCGGCCGGAGCCGCCGCCTCTCTCGGGCTCCGTCTCCGTCCGCGGGAGCTCGGCGGCTTCCCTGCCGGGTCGGAGGCCTCCTGGGTCCCCCTCGGGGCTGCTGCCCGCAGGCGCCCGGCGCCCGCCTCCCTCTGAGCGGCCTTTCTCCCGGCCCAGGTGCCACGGCCTTCGGCGGGCCCTCCACGGCGGACTTCGAGGACGGCTTCCTCCGGCGGAAGCAGCGCCGGAACCGGACCACCTTCACGCTCCAGCAGGTACCGGCCCGCTCCGTCCTTCCCCGCGGGGGCCGGGGGGGGGGTTCGGGGGGCGCCCGGGAGCCCCGCCCGACGGCGCTGCTTGTCTCCCCGCAGCTGGAGGCGCTGGAGGCGGTCTTCGCCCAGACCCACTACCCGGACGTCTTCACGCGCGAGGAGCTGGCCATGAAGATCAACCTGACCGAGGCCCGCGTGCAGGTACCGCCGCCCCGGCCTCCCCTTCGGCCGCCCGGCCTCCGCCGGCGCGGGGATCCGCGGGCACATTTGGCCGCAGAAACGAAATGAAGCCGATCTGTCATTTTCACGATGCACTTTAATAACATCAACATAATGTGGAATATTAGATTAGGTTGATTAATCGGTCATTCATAATTAAGCAGAGATAATGTTCGACACTAATTTGTCCGTGTCTCTCAGGCACTAAATTACCTCAGCGCCCGGCCGTTGCCCGGCCTGGGGGGGGGGCGGGGGGGCGGCTCCCACGGCTCTCCGGGGAAGGTGACCGAGGGGGTGGGGGACCAGCGCTTGGCCTGAGCGGAGGAAACGGGGACCGAGACGGCCTTTCCCCCCGGAGCCGCTCCGGGTGCGTTTCTTGCCGCCTGAGGCTTGAGACGCTCGGGGCTCCCCGGCTTCCCCTCCCCCCCCCCCCAGACCGAGAAGACACAGAGAAAACGGCGCTGTTTCTCTCTCGGTCCTGCCAGGAGTTTCCCTGCTTGTCCTCCTCCCCGGGTGTCAGAAGGAAGGAAGGGCTGGGTGGGGGGGGCTCCAGTAGACCCACCTTTAGCCAAATGTGGCCAGAAAGCAGCTGGTGGGCTAGTCGAAGTCCGCCTGGCTCCCCCTTGGATGGGGAGCGGCTGTTCCTGTTCATACCTGCCCTGGCCGCCGCCTCCTCCTCCTCCTCCTCCTCCTCCGGCCTCTGCAGAGCCCTCCCTGGCGGGCAAAGCCTGGGGACGCCCTGGGGCCACGCGCAGGGGCTGGGCTTCTGGGCTGCCTTCCCTGGAAGCCCTGTGAGGAAACTGACTGCCCACCCCCCCAAAAAAACCCTGGCTGGACAGAAGCACCCCCCCCCCCCCGTGTCTTTCCAAGGGTCTCCCAAGCAAGGCGGGAGGGGGCAGGTGACGGTTCCATGCGTGCAGGTGTGTGTGTGTGGGGGGGGTGAGCAGTATCTTCCTAGGGACGAAGCCACAGGTGCCTCTGGGTCCCCAGCCTGGTTCTTCCTTCAGGGAAAGCAGCGGAGGGGGCTGCAGCCAATAGCAGGAAGGTGGCAGGAAGAGCGGGCAGGTTTCTTAGGGCCACCTAAGGCGCCTAAAGTTGGCTCAGGCAGGACTCGTCTTCCGGCCTTTAACCGGCCTGCTTGTGAGGTGAAGGAGCCCCATCAGGGCTGAACATCCCCCACCCCCCACCCCGAGAACCAGTTTCCTTTTCCTTTTCTGCGGCTGGAAGGTGTGCCTTGGCTTCTCCTCTCTGGCCAGGGGGTTGAAGAGGCCGAGAGCCCCCCCTGGGCCCCCCCCCCCCCCCCGCCGTCTCTCTCTCTTTCTCTCGCTCTCTCGGGGAGGAGAGGAGTCTCCAGGGGCAAACGGGGCTCCTCGGAAGAGGGAACCAGGTGCTGGATAGCTCCACATCTGCACGTGCGCATGCGCTCACCCGCCTCTTATTTAGCAAGAGCCAAGGTTTTTTTTTCCTAATGCCCACATATGTTATTTATGGGGCTTTCCCTGCCTGCTGTTTCTGTCTTCTTTTTATGTAGGTGCTTGGGGTTAAGATTATGCAAAGATCTAATTGTAGGAAATATAATAGCATTCCTCCCCTTCCCCTGGGCCATGTTAGTCTCTCTTAAAACCCAACGGCTGAGGAGAGATAATGGAATTCACTGCAGTAAATTGGGGATTGTAAACAAATTATTTCTTCCATAATCAGATTACGCAACCATGATTATTAAATCTGAACATGAATCACTGGTCATGTGCAGAGGAATTAAACTGATTATTATTATTATTATTTGGACACTGAAATCTCCCTTTTGCCAGTACATGGGAGCCTAGTCAGTTTGAAGTTTTCCCTCCCACCATTTTAGCAATTGGTGCCTAAAGACTGTGCTGCAAATTGAGATAAATGGGACAATTACGGAGCATTCAGAAGATCATAACTTCTCCCTGAAAGGTGCAAGGGCGAGATAGGGGTGGTGACAATTATAGCGTTTAGCCCGGTTGCCGAGTCTTAGGCGGGCAGACAATGGAGCCCCGGTCTGCTTTCATGCTGGGACACCCGGAGAAGAAGGAGGAGGAGGAGCAGCTCTGTTTACACTCCTGCTCTCTCCTCATTCAAATAGGATTAATGCGCTGAAAGACCCTGCCTTAATCGAAGATGATGTTGTCAAACAAAAACTAAATACGAAAATAAACGACTTCATCAGGCCTTTCTTCAGAAGCCGGCAAACTGTCATTGCAAAGTCATTAAAATATGATAATGAAAAATAGCTCAATTAAATGTTGTTATAGCTGTGACCTTCATTCAATTAAGGCACAAGGAAGTGTCTGCAATTGGCTTTGCATTTAACTCCTAAATTTGGAATGCAGATAAAATCATTATTCAGCCTTTGCTGATACATGCAATTAAAAGCAGGCTAAATAAAAATGGAGTGATAATAAGAACAATGATACTCAGCACACTGTAATCATCTTTTAAATGGTGGGTTTCCTCGGCCCATAACTAAGAAAACCCAATTGCCCCTAATAAACGCACAACCAAATTAAGCCCAACTCTCAGTTTAAAATAATCACACGCCGATTTGCAGGACTGGTTCTTTTAGCAGCGTGGACAGGGTGCAAGGGATTCAAACTACATTTAAGGCTGCTTTTTGCAGACATTTTAAATGATTTTGCGGTTGTGGTGGCCTTACAATTGCATCGGTACACATGTAGATACATACTCACAGGCATTGGCATATATGCGGTCTGTTCTCTCCTATTTCTTGAAGACGATTAGGGCAGGCGAAGGTGTTCTTTTCCTAGAAGCCCCGCCTTCGTAGAAGATTGTCAGAGGAAGAAAAGTCCACATATAGGGGCCTTTTTCTCCGTGTTCCCACAAGGATCCTCAGTGCTTCTCCCCATCCTGATTCAGGTCTGGTTCCAGAACAGAAGAGCTAAATGGAGGAAGACAGAGAGAGGCTCTTCTGACCAAGAAGGTTCTAAGGAGGCTGGGACAGAAGTGACGCCCCCCGGAAGAAATTTGAGCTCCCCCTCCCCCGTGGATCAACCTAGGAATAAGAAGGAGAACCTGGAGATCCAGCAGAGGTGAGTAAGCTTTGGCTTCCGGTTCCTCCGCTGAGCGTTGGAGGAACCACAGGCGTCGTCGGGAGGGCTAAGCAGAGCCTGGAAAGGGCGGGTGGGGGGGGAGCTGTCCAAGGGGCTTCTAGTCGTCCTCCGTCCCTCTTGGCTGGCCTTCCCAGAGGCAGCCGGCCTTTGTGTTGGAATCCTTTGCGGATGCCCAGAGGGGAGAAATCGAGGAGGCCGGTCGTACTTTCTCAGCCTTCCCACGGTCCTTCATGGGTGGAAAGGGGGAGGCAGGACCAGCCCTCCCCCTGGAAGGTCTTTTGCAGTGGAATTTCATCTTGTTGGCCTTGCGGTTGCTCACCTGACAACCTCAGGGGCTTCCTTACTTTCCTTGCCAACCACCCTTCTTAAGTCTGATGCTTCTGCCCCTCCTCACTTGGGCTTCTCCCAACTGTTGTGCAGCGCCCGGGCCCACCCCTCTCTCTCTCTCTCTCTGCCTGGCAGCGTCTGCGGCCTTTTCCGTATCTGGTGGGCCTTCTGCCTGGCTCACCAAGGGGACAAATGGGGTGGACACTTCCTGTCCCGTGGGAAGATGCCAACTGCGTCTAAAGTACATGGATGCCAAGAGAAGCAGCTGCCACAACGCCTCATGTAGTTGTCCTAACATAAAAGCTGTGGCTTTCACAATTAATAACCTAAAAGAGATCAGAATGAAAGAGACAATTCCCTCTTTCGGAGGTGACACAGAACAATGCTGACCGGGGAATTCTGGGAGTTGAAGTTTAAAGTTGTTGCCAAGTTTGGAGGTGCCTCTCTAGCTCTTCCGTGCTGCAGTGAAACTGCTCTTCAGGACATTTCAGGACGGGAATCTGCCCTCCTGTAAATTCAACCCATTACTCTAGAGAAAGAGAGAGCCTCTTAGTAGATCCCTCTGCAAAAATATAAATAGGCTGGAAAATTAAGCACTAGAATAATAGCAACAGGCAATCGAAGGCAGAGGAATTAGCAGATCGTCTTCCAGAAGCTTAATGGGATTGGTAAATTACCCTTTGGCTTTGAAAGAAGCTTGCCTGAAAGTTCTGCTCTTGAAGCCGAGGACCTGCCTGTCTGAAGTAATGGGGCCCGGAGAAGAACTTAATGGGTGGCCTAATGGAGGCGCTCGGGTTCTGGGCCATGGAGCATTGAAAGGTCAACCCCAGCACCTTGGAATGACATATTCCAACGCAGACTGGCCTGTGGCTGCGTTCAAAAGGGGGTTCAAAGCGGTGTGACGGTCCACACTGGTCCAGGGTAGGCAGCTCTTGCCCAGGCTCCGGATGTCCCTGAAGGCAGGTGGATAATGCTGAGATGAGGGTGAATCGATCCGTTCTTGACCTGCTTGCTTGTCCTCTTCCCTCTCCCCTGCCCCACTACAGCCTCAGCAGAGCAGTTGGTCCTTCTGGATCCTTCTTCCCTTCCTGTCTACCAGGGACCCTCCTCAATACAGCGACCTATGCCCAAGCCTTGTCCCAAGTAGCGTCCCTCAAAGGTAAGAGACTTCATGCGCAGCCGGAGTTTGCCCGTCGAGTGCCACGGAGTTGGCTGGGCTTTCTTGGCAGAGCTGGTGTTTTTGAACATCACGTTCTGACTTCATGGTTAAATGTTCAGTTTTATTATTGTATGTTTGGGACCCAACTCTAAATGAAATTAAATTTTATTAATTTTTTAAGATGCAATATTACTTGGGAGAAGATACAATTAAAATCGATGGAACTATTCCTTCTGAGTCAACATTCATGCTGTTACTATATTTGGCTAAGTGCCTACAGAGAAATGGGTTCTTGGAAACAGAGGCCTGATTGGAGATGCAACCGGTTAAACCCGGAGCGGAAAAGGAGGAACCCCGTGAAGTCTTGGGGGGGGGGGGGCTATTCACCTGCCCCACCGGGGCTGAGAACTCTTAGGCCTCAGAGGCCTTAGGTGCATCAAAAGCGGGGAAATGGGAAAGGACAAATATCGGTGCTGAATTGAAATGACTGACGGGGCCACTCACGCCTGGGGATTCGTGTTCTACCTCGGAGTAACAGAGTTGGAAGGGGCCCTGGGGTGTAGGCTCCCCCCCCCGCCCCCAATACCGTTCCGGACAAATTCTGTCCAGAGGCAAAGTTCCCGTCGAAGCCCCTCCGGCTCCCAGGGCCTGCCACTGGGGCGTTTGCCCTGGGGATGCCCCTCCCCTTATCTCATCTCAACGGGACGCCCCAGCCCCTTTTCTGGGCCTGAGGCTGCCCGCTGTACGTCTGCCGTAAAGACAGAGGTTTGCAGGGCCTCTTCAGGCCGTGACCGAAGGCCTGGAGCCAGGCCGGCTTTTTCATGCACCCTTTTTCGTTGTCGGGTTGTCCGTTTAACTTCTTTGGATCCTTCCTAACGGACGGACGGCTCGGGAGTTCTGGATTTCCTGGCTTGCCTCATTGGCTCGTATGATCCTTTGCGCAGGGGATAGGTGCAGGTAAGAGCCTTGGGAAGAGCCCACTTCAGGTATCCCTGCTTCCGATAGCAAGATGCGACACAAACAGTTTCCCCATTGATAGACATCAGTGTGTTAGTTAAAGGTTAGATTAAAGGCATTGCAGCTGTTTGCGTTACAGTCCCTGGTGGGCTTGGTCCCCCACTGTGAAACGAGGGGCTTTGCTTGAGTTTAGGCAAGGCAGCCCCGCAGGCAGAGAAATTCGGAGGCAGAGACCTGCGTTCAGTTTGAATACCTGAACTGAAATGGCAAACGGAGTCAACCCGTCCGATCCAATTGGATGGGTGGCTGAATCCATTGAGGTTGGCCGCATCCGGGGGCCTCGGGGGCAGGACAGGCACCCCTGGACGGAGTCATCCTGATTCAGAGGGTGATGTGATTCAAATGGACTTCAAGGATGAGAGTAGAGATCTTTGTCCAGGAAATTCTGTCTCTGGCATCCAGTCTGGGTTGAGTGCTCTCTGGGCATCGGAGTCCAAGCGTTGAGCTCCAGGTCTGTGACTCTCTCGTTAGTTCTGCTGGCTGCCTCTGGCCATCAACAGACTTTATGGCTGTCCACAGCGAGAGAGATTTCCCCAAACCCCCAAAACTTTAACCTCAGACTGTCTGCTATCGACCTCCCCCCTTTCCTGAGAGGCCTGTAGGGGGCCTGCATAAGCGCACCAACGTGCCTGCCCTCCCTGTCCTCTGGTTTCTTTTATTTTTTCTTATACGTATCCATGTATTCATAAATATGTTCTTACTTATACCTATTATCTTGTAAGCAATTGACAAAAATAAATAAATAAGTAAAGATTTAGCCCGGGATTTAGAGAGCAGCTGAATGATCGAGGCCAGCAATAGGAGGAGTTCCTGCTGCTTCTAGCTCCAGTATCTGCCTTTTTCCACTGGGTAAATAAATCGAGAGAAAAGTAGAACAGGCTGGGCTATTTCAACGTATCATTTTATAGCCACAAGTGAGTCCCAGCATTATATCCCTACTGTGAGGTGTGGGCCCCGTGGCAGCATCCACCTTTAAGTGGCACACTGCACTGTGGCAGAGAGGCAGGAAATGCAGCACTGGAGGCCGGGCAGGTGCTCGCCAGTGTGGTTTTGTAGGATTGTGGTTGTCCAGTGTTGTCATGCGGGCACTGGAATTAAGAAAGAATGGGGAGAGGGATTCAGACTGCACTTTTAGCCAAACTTTCCCAAGGCCGATGCATATTGAACTAAGCTGGTATTTTTAAAATGTAAATATAGGTAAAACGAGGCTGCAGAGTTGCAGGTATATTTGCAATTACCTGGTACGAAGCCTGAGTGATGCTTAGCCAGGGCAACCTGAGGGGGCACTCGGGGCCCTGCACCCCCATGGTCACGGGGGGAGAGGCGGAAGCCTGCACAGGGGGCCGATGAGAAGCTGGAGCCTTGTTCAGATGTCGAATCCTCAGAGAGAGTTTTAGAAGCGGGTTGACTTCAGGAGTCGGCCTCCCTTTGTTTTCCTTTCCAACAAGGAATTCCTTTGTGGGAACTGAAGGCCGGGTGTCTCTTTCACAGACAGAGGTCAGGACAGTAGACATATCATTTATGGTGGTAGAAATGCTTATCTGGAACTGATAGAAGTAATGTGGAAGAGGGTTATATTTTCCCAAAGATTTATTTTAATATTTGTAGTTGAGAATGTCCTTCTCTTTTTTTTAGCCGAGAGGCAGATTAACGCTGAGAAGCAGAGCCAGGCTGGGATAGTCCCATAACTATCATCCACCAGGGCAAAAAACGACAGGCCTTTTTTCAAAGGCGACCTAAAGTTGCAATCAGATGGGTTTCCAGGTCAGAGCCGAGCTACTGTGTGCATCCCCAGGGGGTCCCAAGAGCTGGACCGAGCCAATGCTCGCCTAACCCCAGCCGTGGGCTTCCAAGGGATGGCGCAAGACCCAGGAGGCTCCGGGGCCCTTTCCCAGTCCAGGCCTCCAATTCCTACCTGTCCAGGAAGAGGGTACTCCACCTTGTTGTAAAAGCTCCCCTTCTCTGGGCAGTGGAGAGCGAGGGGGGAGTGGGGGATCCTGCTTAATTCCTTCACCATCTGCTGTTGTCCTAGGCAGGGGCCCATGGGACTTCCCTCCCTACCGAACAGAGCAACGGGGAGAGGTAATGACCGGGCACAGAGGCTGCAATCCTTCACTTACTTAGCCAGCTGCTTTGCTGAAAGGGGGTTTCCCCTTGGAGGAGAGGAGAGGAGATGCCCTCCTCCTCCTCCTCCTCCTCCTCCTCCCTTGGTGGCCTCGCCCAGTTCGGCTTTCTCTTCCAAGCTGGGACTAGCCTGACCCTGCTTAGCTTCTGAGACCAGCCGAGGAGGCCGTCCAGGGCCACCGTTTCAGGGGCCTGCAAGGGCTGGGGGGGCGGGGCAGTCAACAAAACCAATATGGCAAGCGTGACTACACAAAGATTTGTCTGTCTGTGTGTGTGCGTGTGTGTGTGTTCCTTTTTCTCTGTTGCAAAATGGCAGAAGGCACGCCCGTGAGGGGCAGAAGCCAGGGCCCAGCGTGGATGGCTTTGATCCTGTAGGGAGCGTGAATTGGGAAGGACTTGCAAGAGGCACATAGGAAGGGGAAGGGTGAGGAAGTCTGCCAGCGCCTACACCTTGTGGAAGGACTCAAAAGCATGGAAGGCACAGCGAAGGGGCCTGGGGGGGGGCAGCAAGCAAGGCGATGCCCCTTTTCACCACCCACCACCCCGTCTTTTAGCGGTCGACATTCCTGTGCTCCCCTTACGTGACGTCGCTTCCCCCGGGGAGGAACTGGCGGCCCGGAAGGAGGGCGGCGTGGACGTGCAGAGCCAAAGCTTCGGCTTTTCCTCACAAGGGGCCGGAGCCACGTCCACCTTCTGCCAAGCAGGCTTCCCGTTGCAGCTTCAAGGGAAAATCCTTCACGTCGGACGTGGCTCAGCTTCAGCCACATGGGGACTTCAGATCCCAGAGTTCCCGGCCAAGTGGCTCCAACGCCATGCGCTTGGAGGTCGCTGGGCCTGAGGACCTTTGCCTCACATCCCCTGTTTTATTTATGCTCTGGGTGGAGACGTGGGCTGGCCAGGATAAACGCGCAGCTTAAAAGCCAGCGCTCGGCCCACTTCCTTAATGGACGGGGGCCACTCATGAATGGCCAAGCAATTAGCGGAGGCCAACAGGCACCTTCGGTTTCTCAGCTCTCAGGGAGTCTCGCTCTGGAGCGAAGGGGGGGGGCAGAGCAACAGAATTCCTTGCTCAGGGCATGACTTGCAC